CTCAGCCTCCTCTTCACTCCCCTCCCAGTGTGTCCCTGCATCCAGACCTGATACTGCACGTGAAAAAACCTCTCTGCTGGATTTGCAGCTTCCTTTTTGGATGAGAGGGAGCTCTGGGCTCCCCTTGGTCAGGGGATCTGAGTATCCAATGCACAGAGGGACTCAGACCTACGAGAAGAGATTAAACACCCCAGAGTGCCAGCGCTGGCTCAGCACTGACTGAGAGCAGCCACAACCCCGGTAGTTATTTTAAGGATATGCACACTGGGGAAGGCAAGGAGAGGGGTCCTTTGAGGGTGAACCAAGGGATTTTAATTAGCAGTCGTGCCATGCTAATTAAGGTAGAAAGAGGCAGGCTGGAGCCCTGTGCTGCTCTGCTGGGGGGCAGCCCCAGCCCCAGGAATTCAGTGGTCTGGGGGACCTGAGGGTGATGGGGGTCCCCAGCAGTTGATGATGGCTGGGGGGAGCAGGGGACTCTGCTGAGTGCCTTGAGCCCCGTGTCCTGAGCACAGCTGGCGGTGACTTGGTGTCACCCCAGTGCGTCACTGCAGTGGTGTGGGGACCACAGGCACGGGGAGGTGGGTGTTGGAGCATCCCTTACACCATCACCCTGATCCATCCCTGCCGTGGTGCAGGAATGGGAGACACAGGGACACTGGTACCAGGGCACCCCTTACAGCCATGCCAAGGGCAGTGCCCGCACTTCTCAGCACCCCTGTGTGCTGGACAGGTACCTCAGGCCCTGCTGGGCGCTCTCCTCTCCTCTCCTCTCGATCCTCACTGATGCGCTGGACATATCCAAACCCGGCTCGTAGTAAATGAGCAAGCAACAAAGTAGCTTTGGGGAGGAATTTCCAGCCCAGTGAGGAGTTTACAGGCCGGTGATTAAAAAATGGTTATTAAAAAAATTAGACAGAAAAGAGAATTAGCTCTGCAGCCGGCACGTCTTCCAGGATCTGTCGTAACAGATTCGTCCGAGCCGGTTAACGGTATTTGCGGTTTGCAAGATGCTACATGCCTGGGGAAGATGACAGACACGTTATTATCACCTCTGGGCTGCGATCTGTCCGAACCTGTCCCAGGATGCAGCTCTGCAGCTGCTTGCTGGGGAGCGCAAGGAAATTAGCAGCCGGAGGCAGCACTTTTCTTCTCTCCCCCTTGCCAGGCCAGTGGCTTTATTGGGATCCATTGACTGCAGCCCCGGACACGTCTTGAGCAGAGCTAATGAGGAGACTGGAATGTAGGAGAGGAGGAGGCTGGTAGGGAGGAGGGGGGAGGATTTGTGGAAAAAAGTAATTGTTGAGCAAATCATTTCCTTCAAGAGGGAAAGGAGGCCTTGGCTGCCTCCCGAACAGGCAAGTCTAGACGCTTCGGTGTCAACAGTTGAAGATAAATAAGATTTTATCAGCTCCGAATCTGTTGGGACACATCCTCCTAGCGGTTCTGCTGCCCATGCAGGGCCGGCCGAGATGGACTTCGCTGGGAGGTCTTTCCAGGCAGAGCATTCAGGTTATTTTTTGTGCAAGGCTGTCATCATCCGTGGGGAAAACCACCTCTTCCTGCGTGAGGAGGCAGCCCCAGGGCTGAGCACTGCAGTGGCCTCTGGAGCAGGTCCTGGTCCTTGATCAGGGTGGGCAGCAGCAGATGCTGGGACTCCACGTCAGCGCTGCATCCACAATGTGGGGCATTTGCCCATCGGGATCTTGTGGTGTGCAGAGCACATCCTGGGGCAGTGGCACCAAGAAAACCATGGTAAAGCCTCACAGCAGCCAGTGGCACCAGGGGCTCTGTCCCTCAGCTGGATTTATGCCCTGTTACGTCTGGCACTGGTGCACTGAGGTCTCATCTCACCAAAGAATCAGCCACATCTCAAACACATCCAAAGACCCTTTGTGTTACCAAGGCCTTAGGGAAAGAGTTCAGTGCTGATATACTGCTAGGGTTTAAATAACTTGGCTTTTCCAGGTATTCCTAGTGTTCTGCAGGATGGGTGGGAGTAGCAGGGAATGGATGGAGGTGGAGCTGGCATTATGGTGTCAGCCAAGCAGCTGAGGGTGACACTGGAAGCTGCAGGAAATCCCAGAGGAATACAGGTTCTGTGTTTCCAGAGGCGTCAGGGAGCCTGTCAGCACTGCTGCTGCTCTGTGCTGGTTAGAGCAACCCAGCAGCCACAAGCCACAGAAACCTGTTGGGCTCCTCAAACACACAATAACAGACACTCTGATGTTTTCCAGGAACAGAGATGACTTTAGTACTAACACAAGTGTGGAGTCAGACACCAGCAGCCCCCAGGGCAGAGCAGGGACTGAAAACACAGGCAGGAGGTGCCCAGGGCAGAGCATACCCAGGCTCCTCTATGGGTGTGAAAGGAATCCTGGTCCTGAGGTCTGGATGTGCCGGGAAGGTGCCCAGGTGTCCCAAGATGCTGTTCCTGTGCCCGGCAGGGAGTTGGCAGCAGAGTGAGTGACCTGAGCTTTGTGACCCAGCGTGGCCAGTCTCGAGAGGTCGGTTTGTCCAAGCACTGTGGAACGGGGAGGATGTGAGTGAACAGCCCGAGGTTCTGCCAGTACAGGAGGCAGAAACGTGGCTGTGACAAACCAAGAGCCAAAGCAGCGAGGAGACTGCACTGGCCTGTGATTAAATCCTGGCATTTTGATCTCCGGCTCCTGCTTTGCTGCTGTCTTATCCTGCAGTTGAGGACTGCAGTGCCTGTGCTCCTTGTGGCTGTGCTGGGAGGTACCAGGCCCTCAGGTGATGCAGCACAGCCTGGCACAGAGATGGGCATGGGGCAGATAATTAGCAAGTACAGATAAGGAGGAGGAGAGACTTGCCTGCTCAGTGCAGATTTGGCTGTCCCCTATGGAGAGGGTGCATTGCCAAGGGCTATTCCTGGCTGGAAGCACAGCTGGGATCCCAAACAGGCAATGCTCGTTCTCCTGGTGGCCACAGGCTGGGTGTGTGGGGCTGGGAGTGGCAGGAGAGGAGGCACAGGAAGGCTCCACACTGTGAGGGGTTGGGAGTGCGGCCGCCCAGGGCACAGCCTGGACTTTTCTTGCCCAGGATTATCAGCACAGAATTCCTTAAAAGAACAGTTTGTTGGAGTGGAGGGATCTTTGAGGGCGATCCCGGAGCTGTTGGGACACGAGAAGGTTATCAGTGCAGACATGCCTGCCGCCTTCTCCCCGCGGGGAATTGCTCTGCTATTTAACAGAGATTTATCCATGTCATAACATGGTATAATGAGAGAATTTGTTACCAAAGAACTTGCCATAATGCACCTCTGCTCTTCCAGAGCAGTTACAGTTCCCAGGCGTGTTGAGGGCTGCCCGGGAATGTCTACATGAAAGGATCCTTTGACAGGAGTTGTCAGTATTTTAACACCTGGCAAGGAAGAGCCCCCTCCAAATAACCCTTGTTTTGCCACGGTGGCTCCTCAAACAGAGGGCATTAAACCCCATTGTGGTGGGCAAGCAGGTTCCATGGGCTGCAGCCCTGTGGGAGCTTCATTTCCAGCCAGGCAGCAGCAAGTCACTGCATTCTGAGTGGAGCAGAGCCTGTGCCTTTTCTGTCCTCCCAGAACTCTCCTGGAGACCACCTAAATGAGACAAACCTGGAAATGGTTTATCTCCTTTGCCCTGTCTCAGTCCCTGAGGTGGTGGGAGCACCTCACTCAGACACAGGTGGCTCCAGTCCTGCAGCCAGGGCAGCAGGATGGGGACACAGATCCTTCCTGCCTGATCCACAGCTGCACCAAACCATGAGCATGGCCAGGAAAAGCAGGGACTGAGCCACTCGTGTCAGCCCCTGAATCTGCTCCCAGACCCATCTGAGCAGCTGCTGAGCCCCCCGTTTTGGGCAGCCCCAGCTCAGGAATCCCCCCGCTCCAGGAGAGCAGAGCAGAGCTGCAGCCTCGCTCCCCTCGGCACACCTGTATTTGGATGGCTCAGGACAAGCTTTAACATCCCCACAAATGCTCTGCACGGTGGTATTTTTTTGGCAGCAGGCATTGTGTTGTGGGGATGAGATAAAATACCTGGAGCAGGAACATGCCCTGCCATGCAGGGACGGGCGCAGGGGTGGGCTCGTGTATAGCAAACACATTCCTTGGGAGATGGAAAACAGCATGGCACGGAGGAGAGGGAAGGGAGCTGCACATCCCCACACCTGGCAGCCCAGACAGTTCCTGGAAGGTGAAGGACACGTTCTCCTTCCCCAGCCCTGCTCTGGAGAGGCTCGAGCTGCAGCCCCAGGAGCTGCCCCCGTTCAAGGCCCTTGTGAGAGAGAGGAGTTTGCCACTGGGCAAACCCCTCTGTGCCCTCACAGGGAGGAATTCAGTGGCCAAAAGCTGTTTTCAATGCAGGAGTGGCTGCAGGTGCTGCCTCCAGCTGCCACAGAGCATCCTCCTCCCATGGCCACCCCGGGGCAGTGATTGTGTCCCCATAATGTCCCCCCCACGTCCCCTCCATGAGCCACTGCTGCTGCAAAGGATCGAGTTGGGGGTCAGGACAAATCTGTTTGTGCTAGAATTAAACTCCTAGGTCCTGTATAATTAGCCATGACACTTTTAATGACATTAAGCACGATTTCCTCGGGCTGTGGTGCTCCCAGCCCTTGGTGCTCCCTGCTCTCCACTCAGCCACAAGCCTTGTGCGAGAACAGACTCAGGGAAATGTTTCAAAATGGGCTGAATGATGCACGAACGAGGGTTTTGCTGATTTTCAGTGAGATTCCCTCTGTCACAGCACAGCAGGTGCCCCTGCTCTGCCAGAGCACCTGGCCAGCTGGGAACCTCCTTCCCAGGAGGTGGCTGAATCTGCTTTATGTGGAGAGTGGACAGCACATAGTGTGGGTGAAACAGGTCAGATCTCAGTATTTCCAGGGGAGAGGGAAGAGAAGGGAGCCCTGTGTTGGCACCACAGTGGAGGAGGCCAAGGGCGGGCAGGGGAGCATCCGCTGTCCCCTCAGCGACGTTCACCTGGCGGGTGTCTCCTCTTCCCCAGTACTCCCCCCTGCTGAAGAAGCTCTACTGTCAGATCGCCAAGACGTGCCCCATCCAGATCAAGGTGTCCACCCCGCCGCCCCCGGGCACCATCATCCGGGCCATGCCGGTCTACAAGAAGGCAGAGCACGTCACCGAGGTGGTGAAGCGCTGCCCCAACCACGAGCTCGGCCGCGACTTCAACGACGGTGAGTGCCACCCTGCCCTGCTCCGGGAGCCTCACACCCCCTGTGCCACAGCCCTCTCTCTAACCAGAGGTTTGCCTTGCAGGCCAGTCAGCCCCCGCCAGCCACCTCATCCGGGTGGAAGGCAACAACCTGTCCCAGTACGTGGATGACCCGGTGACGGGCCGGCAGAGCGTGATGGTGCCCTACGAGCCCCCGCAGGTACCCGGCTGCTGGGGAGGGGGCAGGACCAGCCTCTGCCTCAGGACAGGCTTGTGCCAGCACTGTGGGTGAACCCACAGGGGACAGGGCTGCTTGGCAGGACACACAGGGCCAGAGTGTCCCCCTTGCCCTGGCACACCTAAGGCCACTCCCACTCTCCCCCCCACTGGTGGCAGCTGCATTCAGTATCTGCATCTCCCAGTCCTGAGAAGCATCCCAGAGCAGCCTGGTCCAGGGATGAGGGGTGCAAAGGGAGATCCCCTCTAGTCCTGCCAGGCGGGTCCCCACAGTCCCCTCTTCCAGCTGGGACCATCCCCACACCACCCTTCCCTGGTGCTGCCCTGCCAAGGTGCCAGCCCTGTACCCTGTGCCCCTCTTCTTCACTCCCTGGGGGAGACAAGCCTGCTTCCCCCACTCCAGTTCTTCACTCCCCAGTGTCCCTGCCTGCCTCCCCCATCACTCCCTGCTCAGCACCTGCTCTCCCCTCCTGGGCAGGTGGGGACCGAGTTCACCACCATCCTGTACAACTTCATGTGCAACAGCAGCTGCGTGGGAGGGATGAACAGGAGGCCCATCCTCATCATCATCACCCTGGAGACGAGAGAGTGAGTGGCTGTGGGAGCAGGGATGGGTGTCCCTCCTGCTGCAGGAGGGCTGGGACCCCTTGGGATGGAACCCTCTCCTGCAGGGAGCACCCCCAGGGAAGGGGATGTGACAGCCCCAGCCCATGGCATGGGAATGTTCTCCTCTGCCAGCTCAGAAAAGGTTGGCATGGAGGGACCAGGGACCCAGCCCAGAGCTGGCTTCTCCCCAGCAGCTGGAGCTTTCCTCTGCCCCAGGAGCTCCTCTTCCCCAGGAGCCTGCTGTCCCCTCCATTTGTCCCTGAGGATCCCTTCCCACAGAGGGAAGGGAGAACGCTGCTGCTCTGGTTCCTGAGCTGGACTGAGCCACAGCTACCTTCCCAAGGGGAAACAGGGTCAGTGATTCCTGTGCTCTCCCAGTGGCCAGGTCCTGGGGAGGAGATCCTTCGAGGGCCGGATCTGTGCCTGTCCCGGCAGGGACCGGAAGGCGGACGAGGATCATTTCCGAGAGCAGCAGGCCCTGAACGAGAGCGCAGCCAAGAACGGCAACGCCAACAAGCGCAGTGAGTCCCTCAGGGCACCCCAAATCCCTGCACTCCTCAAGTTCAGGTCCAATCCACACCCAGGCACGATGCTTTGACCTTTCTCCACTAAATCTAGTCTTATAAGTCAGACCCCTCCCCTCTCCCTGCAGAGCCCAAAGCTGCCTGTGCAGGGCTCTCATGGCCAGAAATATTCATTCATTATTGTTAAAAACAAAGGGACACTCCAAAGCCAAGCCCCAGGGGAATGGCTTTAGCATCCTGCATGGCTCGAGCCTGGTGCTCCCCAACATGTCCTGCCTCCCAGGACCCTGCCAATGCTCTTCCCCTCTCCTTTCCAGCGTTCAAGCAGAGCCCCCAGAGCATCCCAGCGCTGGGGAGCAGCATTAAGAAACGGCGGCACGGGGAGGAGGAGATGTACTACGTGCCTGTAAGTGTGGGTGAGCTGCACAGGGTGACAGCTCAGCCTGGGATAGTGGTGGCACTGTCCCTCTGCCAGCAGCACCCTTGGGGGGGATGTCAGGCAGGTCAGGGATGCACAGGCTCCCACAGGGCAGCAGAGCTGGGCAGAGACTCGGGAAATAGGAGCAAAAGCATCCCTGGATGCACGTTTTCAAGGGATTGCTGGATCCTGAATATTTTCTGGCCACAGTGACAGTGCACTTTGCATTCTGAGTGGAAAAAAGGGACCACGAGGAATTGGCCAGGTGGGACAGGGATACAGCAAAATCCTGGGCTTGTTCCCTCCTCCAGGTTCGGGGCCGGGAGAACTTTGAGATCCTGATGAAGATAAAGGAGAGCCTGGAGCTGGTGGAGCTGGTCCCGCAGCAGCTGGTGGATTCCTACCGGCAGCAGCAGCAGCAGCTCCTGCAGAGGCAGTAAGTGCTGCTGCAGCCCCTGAGACACCCACAGCCCCCCAGGAGGGGCAGGGAGGTCTGATGGGCTCGAGGGGAGCTGCAGGCTGTGGCAGGGCAGCTCCATCCCCCTGCCAGGCTGACCAGCACGTGCTCTCCCTGCACAGGAGCCAGCTGCAGACACCTTCCTCCTACGGGCCCGTCCTCTCACCCATGAACAAAGTTCACAGCGGAGGAATCAACAAGCTGCCCTCTGTGAACCAGCTGGTGGGGCAGCCAGCCCAGCACGGCCCCGGCACCGCGCCCAGCCTGGGCCCCATGGGTGGGTGCTCCCCTCGCCACTCCGAGCCAGGGGCTCTCCCTGCCCAGGCAGGGGGGTATCACGGCAGGGGGTGTCTGACAGGTCCGTTTGTTGTCCCTGCCCAGGGCCTGGAATGCTGAACAGCCATCCCATGCAGCCCAACGGGGAAATGAACGGGGGCCACTCGTCCCAGTCCATGGTGTCCGGGTCACACTGCACCCCCCCGCCGCCCTACAACCCCGACCCCAGCCTCGTCAGGTAGGGAAGGCTCCCGGGGCCCTGCCTGTCTTGTCCTCTGCCATTCTTTGCTGTGTCCCTCGCTCTAACCTTCCCATCTGTCTGGCAACTGGTCAACTGGCCACCGGCCCCAACTGAGAAATCACTGCTCCAGATCACACAGACTGTTCCTCTCAGCTCAGCAACCAAAGCCCAGCTACCGACCAGTCAGAAACCCCCACTGCCCTCATACACCCCATGGGAATCCTTCCATGATTAGTCAGAAATGAAATGCATCCAAACGAGGGTCTTGTCCTACATGTCCCATGGCACATGGCTTTGTGAGCTGCCCCCTTCCCCTTCCTTCCAGCAGCGCCTGGAAATGGGTCCACACGGGCTATTTCCATCAGGAATGCATTAACAGCTCTGCAGCATTTTAATGTCTTGGTCTTTAAAAAGACCACAGATGTTTCTGCACCAGCATCCACACGGGGCAGAGCCTGGCTGTGCTGCTCAGCCTGGGGCATGTCCTGACACCCCTCCCCAGTAGCTTGAGCTCCCTCACATTATTCTGAGTAAGTTCCTGAGCCAAAACCTCTGAAATCAGGAGAAAAACATGTGTAGCTTTAGGAATGAAAATAATCCCACACTTCACTTTGACCTTAGTGGCAGTGGAGGTCCCACTCGTGGAGCTCTCCGTGTCCCCCCACCTCCTCCGTGGCCTGACACGGTCTGTCCCACGGTGATGGTTTCCAGCACAGCTGTTGTTCATGAGAAGTTAATGCCACTTTATTTTCCAAACTTTTTCTGCAGTTTTTTAACAGGATTGGGGTGTCCAAACTGCATCGACTATTTCACCTCACAAGGGTTACAGAATATTTACCACCTGCAGAACCTATCCATAGAGGTAAATGCTTTGGGAAGATCTGTTCTTACCACTTGTTTCCAGCAGCTGTTGGTCTGAAAAGCAAAACCAAAACTGTTTTAAGGGAAAGGGAGTTCTGTGCCCCAGCCCTCACAGAAAATGTGTGCTCCCAGGATAGCTGCCTCCCACTCCTGCAGCCTCACACTATCTCAGGCCTTGATAAAAACCACAAGTCTCAGCTGGTTCCTCCAGACTGTCAGAAACAACAGAGATTAAAAATCCCCAGGCCAGAGCTCAGGGAGATTTTCCACCTAACACAGAAAACACAGCTGAGGTGCTCAGTGGAACACCCCAAATCCCACAGAGCCAGCAGGGACACCCCATTGCAGCTCAGGAAGGTTTAATCTGATCTCACCTCTTCCCCTGTTAATCTTTAAGACAAAAGAGGCTGAAATAAGGGAGTTGAGCCCAGGGCATTTATAACAAGGGAAGGCAGGAATAAAACAGCCAAGATCAGGCAAAAGCTGGCAGGAAAAACATGGAGGGGATGCTGGAAGTACCTGTGTGTGCCCCAGAACATTCAGCCTCTGCTGCTGCCACACAGCGGTGCCAGTGCCTGGGTGGCACCAGAGCTGGGGCTTCCCCAGCCCGTGACGGGAATGAGAAGGAGGAAAACAAATAACAATCCTAAACCCTTTGAGCCATGGCAAGCCCTGTACATCCCAGAGTTGGTGTTTTGGCTGAGACAGAGCTCCTGCCCAACCCCATTTTGCCCCAGGCAGGTGTAGCAGCATCTCCAGCTGGCAGCTACACCGACCCGTGGGAGAGATGATGATTTGTCACTGGTAGCTGGGGCCAGTTGCGTAACCTGAGCCTGGTTTTGGACCGTTTGCTCAACTAACTCCGTGACCGTCTGTCAGCTGTCCAAGGAAATGTTTGGAATGGCCGAAACTTGTGTCGGGGCTCCGAGCTGTGTGTCCGAGTCGGCGTTTGTAGTTACTAATTGCATCCTCACTGTCTGCTGCAGTTAACGCTCCCCCGAGTCTCTGTGATGGCATTACCGTGGATCCCTGGCAGGTCCTGCTGTGCCCATGGCCCCAGGCTGAGGTCACCCACCTCCCCTGGCTGTGTGAGCACGGCCTGTGGTGCTGTGACAGCCGTGTCACCACCCCGCTGCACGGGGCAGGTGCTGCTCCAGCCTCCCAGGCCGGGACTGGAGCAGAAGCCCAGGGGAACAGGCACAAGGATGCTTCACGTGCTGCTCCGAACCTGTGTCCGAAGGGAATGGTCCCCTCCCTTTCCTTCCTCCCGTTCCCACATCAGTTGGATGGGAAGCCCTCCCAAAACACGTCCCTGACCCGCCACGCTGTGGCTGAGTAACTGGGTTACAAAAGATGGGGGATGATGCACCACGGCCTTGGTGTCGTGACCTGAGGGAGGTCCAGCCCTGCTCTGTTGGGTGCTCGGGCATCGAGCCCTCATGCCCCAAAGCATGACCAGGGGCCCGGGGCTCGCTCCCGCTGGCACAGTCACGCCTGTGCCGGCCGTGCCTCAGCGCTGTTGTTCTTCCAGGATCTCGGAGCACTGAAGATCCCGGAGCAGTACAGGATGATCATCTGGCGGGGCCTGCAGGAGCTCAAGCAGAGCCACGACTACGGGGCCCAGCAGCTCATCCGCTCCAGCAGCAACGCCTCCACCATCTCCATCGGCAGCTCGGGGGAGCTGCAGCGGCAGCGGGTGATGGAGGCCGTGCACTTCCGCGTGCGCCACACCATCACCATCCCCAACCGCGCCACCGCCGACGACTGGGCGGACTTCGGCTTCGACCTCCCGGACTGCAAATCCCGCAAACAGTCCATAAAGGAGGAGTTCACGGAGGGAGAGATCAACTGAGCGGCTCCGGAGGCGGCAGCGAGAGGCCTGGGGGAGCCGAACGCCCCATGGAATGTATTTGCAGCCTCGGGCGCCTGGAGAAGCCTCATTTGGTTGACCGAGGGGACTGCGGGCCCTGAGCCGGGCGGGAAGCGCCTGCCCCAGAGAGGAAACTGCGGTGGCTTCGGCCCAGGTGAGGAGGAGGACGAGGAGGAGGAGGAGGAGGGCAGCCGAGCCAGCTCAGCAGTGGAGTGGGATTTCTGCCTGCCCGTGGCACGGGAGGCACCGGCTGGTCTGTGTTTTCCTGGAGCACCCCTGCATCCCACAGACGTGGTGTAAGGATGGCACGTTTTTCTCATCCCTGCTCACTGACCCTGTCTGTGCTCCCTGGGATGTCCCAAACCCACAGGGCTTTGTCACTGCAACACAGACTCAGCCCTCACCTGTGCAGGCATCGCCAGCGACTGGTGCAAAGCCTCATCCTGCTTTCCCGACAGACTGCCAAGCACACCCCTACCCTCAGCCCTCTCTAGAGCTGGAAAGAACCTGTTTGTTTGTTCCTGATGTGTTCTTGTACTTAAATATTGGTGTATATAAACAGCAGCAAATGTACATACAGTAAACTCATTGTGCTGTAAGGAGAGAGAAAGATTTATTTTCATGTAAGCTATAAAAATTGATACTGACTCCTGAGACACCACAGTGTCAAGTAAATTAATTTCATGTTGTAGCATGTAAAAATGCAGAAAATCATGTTTCCAGCCTTATCTATTCAAAATCCAGTTTTTTCCTCCTCTGAATCTTTCACGCAATTGCGGAGGAGGGAGAAAGCCAGTGATTGTCCTGGGAAGTCAGAGGTCTGGATAATGCCTCCCTGCTCTGTTGGAGAGCTTTGCAGACAGGTCAGGCCTGGTGAGCCAGAACACAGGCAGTGTAAATTCCATCCTGCCTTGGAGCACAGCAATGGGCTGGATGATCAGTTCTGTTCTGTTCCTGGTCACTTTTCCCAGCTGTAATTTCTGTTGATTGAGGCTGGCAGAAAAACCTCCCCAGAAAGCAAGGACACAAGTAGGTGTGTTCCCTCCCTGAATGCTAATTCCCCACACATCTGGGAAGGCAATGTCCCACAGCAGGTCTCAGAAAGGCCCTGGCAGTCACAGGAGCTCCTGCTGAACAGCATGAACAGGGGCTGTTCCCAGCAGTATTAATGGATCACTCCATGGCAGGAATGGTATTTTTTGTAATGTTACCTTTGGAAAATGTGTTATTTTTATAGCTGTGGTTTTTCTTTTGTGGTTTGTTGGTTTTTTGGTTTTGTGTTTTTTGGTTGGTTTTTGTTTTTTTTGTTTTTTTTGTAACACAATAAAAGCACATGTGGGAATTGCTGCATCTGGCAATTAAAATTGTACAGAAAGTGCCCTCCCAACCCACATAAACCTTCACCTGTAGGACCTCAAAGGGCCTGAAGCTGCTGAAACCAAAAAGAAACCCTCTTGTGAGTAATAAACTGCTACAGTGAGTACAGAAAGGCAAGAGGTGGCTTCTGAATATATAAAACTTTCTTTTTTTCTCAATAAATGACTAAAAACCAGCGAATGAGGTGGATAACACTTATTAATACACTGCTTTTCTGAGTTTGAAAAATTTCTGTTAAAAAAAATTCCCCAAAGGAAATTGTCCTAAGTTACAAATGTCACCACTATTTCCAGTTTAAGGAATGTATATTCCATAGGCAGGAGCTGGAAACTGATAGAACTAAAGGTTCTTGCAAGAAGCACTGTTTATAAACAAACACTCTGAAACGGAAAAAGGCAAGAATGTTTGTTGTAACACAATAAAAATACCATTAAAAAGCTTTCAAAACACATCAAGAACCGGCCTTGTGAGAGCCACCCACCTGCAGAGAGCTCCTCACCCTAACAAAGGTCCAGAGCTCCTGGCAGAGCCCCCGGCTGAAGGCTCTGCCTGCTCTGCTGGGCTCTGTGCCCCGAATAAATCACGGAATCGCAGACCGGTCTGGCTCGGAAGGGCCCCAGAGCTCATCCCGTCCGCCCGCCCGGGGATGAGCGGTCCCAGCGCAGCTCAGGGAAGCGCTCCCGGCACACCCGCACGGGCAGGAGGGGCAGGACGGCGGCTCCAAGGCAGGGAACGCGGCCCCGCCGTCCCGGAGCTGCTTCTGCCCTGCCCAGGCCCGGCGGTCACTCGGAAGCGGAAAACACCGCCCGTCTCACGCCGTTGCCGGGCAGCGGCTCCGCTGCGAGCCCGCTCCAAACCCCGCTCCAAACACCCTCCAAACCCCGCTCCCAGCCCGCTCCAAACACCCTCCAAACACCCTCCAAACCCCGCTCCCAGCCTGCTCCAAACCCCGCTCCAAACCCCGCTCCCAGCCCGCCGGGAGCTGCCGGGAGCCCCGGGCGATGGACGGGGAAGCCGCTGCTGGCTCGCAGGATTCAGAGCCCACCCAGAGCCTGGAACAGCTCCGGGAGGAGCTGCGGAAAGCCAAGAATGACCACAACATGGCCACAGGTACCGGGGAAGGTGCCCAGAACAACCCTCCCCTGCCCAGCTCATGGCGTGCCCATCCTTTGACCGTGAGAGCATCGCAGGTTGTTGCTCACAGAGAGAGGCTGAAATGCCACTTGCTCTGAAAACACTCCTTCTCCTCTTGAAGAACATGAGAAATGGGTACCCTAAGGCCACAATTAGGTGGTGGAAAAGCCTTTTCTTTTCCAGGCTGAACAAACCCACATCCCAGCAAAGCACCACAAACCATGTTATCACTTCCTTGTGCCCACCTAAGTGAGGAGCCACAGAGCTTTAGGCCTAACACAGCACTCCCACCCTACAGGTGCCATCTCTTCCTTGCAAAGACAACTGGAGATCCAAGAATCTGAGCTTCGGAGATTCAGATACGAAAACGAAATGCTTCAGAAGCAGCTCAGAGAGCAAGAGGACCAGCTCCAAGCCATGTCTGACAAGGTACAGCCTGAGTGGCCGTGGCTGTCGGGAGAGCTGGCAGCCGGGAATTTGGGATTTACGCAGCAGTTCCCTCTCTCATAGGCAGGAGGGGCACCTGGAACTCTGAGACTGAACTGTAAAATATTCTGCCTTCAGTTTTGCAGCCTTACAGAGGAACAGAGGAAGGAAGAAGTGATGGTGATGATAGAGGAGGAGAACCACAGCCTTCGACAGGTGAATGTGGTGCAAAGCCACCAGAGAAAATTCTGGTATTTGCTGCTTCGCTGGGCTTGTTTGGCATATAATCCCCCTACTCAATCCAAGTAGTTTTAGAGAAAATGCCAAGTAATAACAGTTACTGGATATTGATGAGGTTGTTAGTCCATAGACTCTGCCCAGGAAATACCAGAAGCATCTGGACCAGATACTGGGAAGATGAGGCCAAACCTGCTCACCTTCTTCCCCACAGTAACAGCTGGATTTCTGCATCTGCTCAGGTTGTTACAGAACAGGAATCCCAGCTGGCTAAGCAGAACGAGCAGATCAGTGAGTTAGAGGGGACAATCAGACGGCTCCGGATCGAGGTTGTGACCAGCCGCCACCACGCCCAGGAGCACAAACAGGCCCAGGAGGAGACCAAGAGCCAGCTTGAGGCACTGCAGCACAAGGAGGTGCAAACCAAAGTGGCACTGGAACGTATCAGAAGCAAGGTAAACACGGCCTCTTTCACCTCAGAGCCCTGCCTCCCTCTTGGGACACGCTTGGGAATCTCAGCCCATTTGCTCCCCAGCTGCTTAGCAGGCAGCTCTTACACCACTTACAGTGCAAACAGGCCTCAAATACCAGAAGCCCTTGAGAAACTCGAGTTCAGAACAGTTACATCACCAGATTTCTAACATCTTTCCAGACTCAAGGTAACAGGAACCACCTTAAAGCCACTTCCTGCAGGCAGATGTGCCTGATGCCTGGGGAAGGGCTGCAGCCCACCCAGCCCCACACCATTACCACGGCATTTGCAGTGAAACCCAAAACACCCATAATTTCTCATGAACACTTTCCATCTCATCACTCAGCAGTACTTCGCCCAGGCCTGAGAGTGCAGTCTCTCATGTAAATCCATGCAAATGTCAAGGAATTATATATAAAGACTAAACACACCTGCTTTCCTCTTTTATCCCAAGTTTGAAAGGTTACAAAGCAAAATCATCCAGGCTGCGTTCAGCGTGGAGGGCCAGGACCCCCCCCGGGCCGAGCTCACGGAGAAGCAGGTGCTGGACACAATGCAGGTACGTGGCCCTTCCAAACTCGGCTTGCAGCAGCCAGGAGGGGACTGCTGAGGTAAGAGAACACTTTGCAGCGCTGCTCTTCCCCTCGTGCATTCCCACCTCTTTACGTATCCCTGACTTTCAGAGAATTGCTGACGAACGGATGGAGTTCTATCAGATGCTGAAGGAGAGAGGCATCAAGGTGCCTCTGTACTACAACAACATTTACCCTGAGTCACCTCCCGAGAGGAAGAGTTCTCCCTGAATGGCAAAGCTGCCCTGATGGCTGAGCCAGAAACCACCACCAACTTCAGGCTCTGGGTCCTTGGCTCTGAGCTGGTGACCTGCAACAAATTAAACTCATTTTACTGAATTCGAGTGCTGCAGGAGTATCTGATTCAATCATTTCAGCCGACTCGGAGCACAGGTCACTGTAAGTCCTTGGTCTATAGAAACACTTGACTTCCAGGGAAGCCCGAAGTGCAAGCACTGGTTGGCTACAAGCAGCTGGGAAGTGTGAAATTCCAATTTTTGAAGTGCACAGCAGCTGCTTTGGGAAGTTTGTAAGTGAGGTGACTGAACATTCACCAATGCCAAAATGAGTGACAGTGCCATGACTGCAAGTACTGTTTTATTTCTCCATTCCATATGCAAGTCCCAGCATAGGGATGTATTTGACACAGTATCAGTTCAGCCAGAGCTCCGAGAGTATAATTTTTAAGAGAAAAGTCTATCTGGGGGTCACCCTGGCTGAGGGAAAGCTGCACCAGTTCACACTGGTGCTTGCCTGGGTGCAGAGGTCACCCACAGACTGCCCAACTGAGAACTGCCCCAACTGCCTGTATTTTGGGAAGTGTCCCCAACCCTCTCCATGTGGGGTAGGACAGAAAGCCCCAGGAGGGTCACTCTGGCACAAGTGTCTGTATTCTGGGGGGACAGGGAGCTTCAGCAGTGTCATCAACAAAGCCCATGCTCTATCACAGTAAATCACCAGCCACACAGACAGTCACTACATTTTCCACAGGGATCAGGATGGCTCTGAAATACTCTGGGACACACAAACCCTGCAGGCATTTCAACTGACCACTTAAAAATGGGAGCTGTGTTCATGCCCGAACACAGAAACTGTCACTTTTAAAACTCATCCCACAAGTTCTGACAGCAATTAAATATTTCTGACAGCAACTAAGTGCTCACAGTAACTCCAGATAAAAACAAAACTATAAAGAACGAAATGTCAGCAAAGTGGTTTGGCCTTTTGATTCTGAATTGCACCCATCACAGGACCCCTGTTCCACACTGTCACCTACTGCATTTCTCTGCTGCCAAAACAATGATCCAGATGAAACATGCCAGGAAGAAAAAGGGATCTTGCAGAAAATTTGGACTGCATTTGTTTCAAATATCATGATGATTTTCTTTACAAGTTGCTGCTTTCGGATGTCTGACGCCTCCTCTGCCATAAGTCCACGTTTGAAGATGCTGCTCTCCCTGCCCTGTCCCAACACCAACGATCTCTGTTAAGGCTGAAAGATTTCATTTCTCTTTGCTGCAGCTCCTCAGAGTCTGAAGCTGTTGCCTCCCCAGCAGGATGCTCTGCTTCTTCTCTTTAGAAACCCCAACCCCCTCACTGCGCTCGGGCTGTCGAACATGGGGAAAACCCGAAAAGAACATGGAGTCCTCTCCTCAGCTTGGACAGCTGCTAACGGATCACAGTCAGCAGAGAGGACACTGTGGCCAGGTCAGTTTTAGAAGGATAAAGCACTTTCAAGTTTCCATCCGTGTCCACCACTCGCACCTGCTCCAGCACCAGCGGCAGGTTCCCGGGCTCCAAACCCCCTGGTCCGGAGACAGCATCCAACTCGGCATCCGAGCCTGAGCCCTCCTTGTTCTCCAAGGTAAATCTGTTCAGTTCTGCGATTTTCTGTTAAAGCAAAACACAGAGAACAAGATCAATTCCGTGGCAGAGAATTAACAAGAGGGAATAATAATACTGCTAGAATACAAATCAGCTTCTGTGTTCTCCGTGCACATGAGCAATGACACATTTGGTAGGAGCCCACCAAGAAGAGACAGGATATTTTCCTGAACTCCCTACCAGGATGAGCGTGTCCATCACATCTTTGCAGATCTGTAAACTGGTATCGCTCGTCACTTCCAGGAACAGGTCACGGGTCTCTTTTCTAATCTGTAAGAGTTGCACAGTTAAAGCAAGTCAGGAGTCAGAGCATCTCACCCACAGCCCTCTGACACGTTTCAATACACAGAACTAAAGGCTTTCATTTAATTTAATCAGGGGTTAGGCACTGCTGTTCTTTTATTCCTGCCCTTCCACAAAGCCTTTGCACAGGTAGGTTGGTGCTTTTGGAACAGATTTCCAGAGGTACAACTCTAACTCCCAGATCCCTCTTGGTCTGACAGTCAAGCACACAAGACACAGGCTGTGAGGGTTTATATCTGGAACACAGCTTGTGTGTGTCTTTGAGTTAACTCTCAGCAGAAAAAACCACTGTTTAATTGATTAATGTATTTCCATGAACAGCGAGCACCTTTGTTTTCTCACTATTGGTTATTGGTGGGAAGGAAATCACAGCGCCTTCAGCATCCACCAGGCAGGGGTAGTTGTCTTTGCCATCCAGCAACTGCAGGTACCTGCCAGAAGAATGCAGCAAAAAGTGAGTGACAGAGCAGCTGGACACAATGGCAGAAAATACTGACAAAAAGGAATTAGTGTGTGATCTCTGCAAGAGCAATGAACAGCACAGGGCAGAGCCACATGCTGCTTTACAGCTCATCTGCTCCTACCTGCAGATTTACCCCATCTCTGATTCACTTACTTTGCTGAATGTGCACCACTACACTTCACTATTCTCTGCTTGCCTTCTATTTGCTGTTCTAAATAGATTTGTCACCTCTTGAAGAACCCATACAAGAATTTACTCATACAAAAATTCGATTCAGTGTTTTTCATCTCAACTCCCAAGAGCTCATGCTGGGTTTGTGAGCCCCATCCCCAGTACAGTCACCTAAATGAGTGTGAAGAAAACCACAAAAGACCAGGGTACTGACTTGTGCAGCCCAGAGACGTTCTGACGCTTCTTCTGCTTCCGCTGCTCCTCAGCTTCCAAATGCAGCTGCCGGAGAAGGTCCTTTGCCTTGATCTCCTTCCGACCCAGGGGCGTTATCTGCACCACACAAGAAAACAAACATTTGAATTCAAAACTCCTGTGAGCAAGTCCATAATTAAAACCATACTCCTGTATGTTGTCATTCCTCATGTCCTTTTCAGCCTGGAAATACACTTCCCACTTCTCATGGAGTGCTGTGAGTTTAAACCCTTGTGTAAGCTACAACACCCACCTGAAAAACAGGCTCAGTCGCTGGTACTAAACCTGGTACAGCAGGATAGCATGGAAATCAGTAGAGCTTCTAAAGTCAAGTCCCAGGAATTAGTTTTCTAGGATCTGTGGGGTAAGAAACTACTGCCAAGCCCTACCTTCAGCTCGTCAGGAGGCTGAATGTCATAAATCAGAGGAGCTTTGACCAGCTGCAAGTCGTGGGTGGCAATGGTGGCCGCTGTGCGCCTCTCACAGATGTCCTCGTGCAGCTTAGTCTAAACCAAAATAAATCAAAAAGCTTGTGTGATTTATCCCTCCTGGGGTTAACTAGTTCTATAATTCTTTTACAGTTAATGTCTGCAGCACTACCAGCCAGGTGAGCACGAAACAGAGCCCTTCCCTTCACCTGCGAGGTGCCTGTACCTGCACTACAGCCCAAGCCCAAAGGCAGCAAAGCCAAGCAGCACGTGAGACACTTCCCAACTGGGAAATCAAGTTTTAAGTCAGAAATCACAAACACTCTGTAACCCGAGAGCAGCTCCCACCTGCCACCTAAGGGACAGCTCTGTGGGTAGGATGCCTCAGTCAGAAGGCTGGGTGTGCAACATGGTTTTAGCACAGATCAGGGAACCTGGAGCCAATCCAGGATACACCTAACGTGGACACAGGTTTATTTTTAGCTCTCGACAGGTTCCACAGCACCGACAAGCTGCTGTTACAGACACAACATAAATACGAGTGCATCCGCTGCCCTCATGGCAACACCTGAGCTCTGACTGGTCCTTCCCAAAAACCAGTTCTGCTGATTCTGGACTCACTGGGCACATGCTGCTGGCAGAGGCCACTCTGCACGGCCACCCCTGGACCCTCCCACCCATTTCACAAACTCATCTGCTGGAAGGAGCCCTAGAACAGTATTTCCAACTCTCACAGCAACACTGCTGTTGCCAAGTACCACAACACAGCAGCAGTTACCTGCGTCGACAGGAACCTCTTGAGAGCGTTCCCCGGCTTTAGGTTCACCCCCTTCAGCACACAGCACACGATGAAGGGCCGAACATCTTTGACGCCCGGGCTCACTTTGACCACCAAGGGCGCCGGATTCTCGGAGACGTGCAGAACCTTCACCAGCAGCCTGCTCGCCTCCTCCACCTCGTCCTGCTCCCCATCCCCACTGTCCTTTTTCTGCTGCTTCTCCCTCTTCTTCTTTCTGACCTCCTCTCTGGCGCTCTCGGCCTTCCCCTTCCCGCGGCCCCCGGCCCGCAGGTACTCCAGGATGGCCTTCGTCTGGCACCCATTGACCATCTTCTCCAGCCGCTTGTCCCTCAGCTGGTTGCCCCTGAAGTTGGCCTCCTTCAGGCGGGGGCAGTCGGCCAGCGCCGAGGGCAGCTCCCGCAGCTGGTTGTTGGCCACGTCCAGGCTCTGGAGGAGACAGAGACGGGATGGTCAGGGGCGGGCGATGGGGAGCGGGGAGGGCGAAGGCAGCGCGGGGCCCGCTCGCACCTTGAGCGCCGGCAGCGCCGCGATGTCCGCGCCCAGCTCCGCCACCTCGTTGTCGGCCGCGTCCAGCCGGCTGAGCAGCGGGAAGGGCGCGGCGGGGCCCGCGGGGGGCAGGAGCCCCCCGGGCAGCGCCCGCAGGCGGTTCCCGGAGAGCAGCAGCTCCTGGAGCTGCGGGGCGGCGCGGGCGAGCCCCGGGCCGAGCTCCCGCAGGCGGTTCCCGCTCAGGTTGAGGCTGCGCAGCTGCGGGAACGCCGGGGCCGCGTCCCCCGCGCCGTCCCCGGCGCCGCCGAGCGCGGCCGGCAGCGCCTCCAGCCCGTTCCCGGACAGGTCGAGCAGGCGGAGCGCGGGCAGCGGCCCGCCCAGCCCCGCGCCCAGCCCGGCCGGGCCCAGCGCGTTGCGGCTCAGCACCAGCGTGTGCAGCGCGGGCAGCGCGGCCGCCACGCCCGGGCCGAGCTCCCGCAGCGCCGCGCACCCGCTCAGCTCCAGCGACTGCAGCAGCGGCAGCGCCAGCAGCGCCGCCGGCAGCCGCCCCCGCCCGCCGCCACCCGCTCGGCCACGGCCGCGCCCGCCAGGCACAGCTCCCGCCGCCGCTCCCGCGCCGCCGCCTCCAGCTCCGGCCACGGCCCCGGCCCCGCCGCCGCCATCGCGCCGCTCCCGCCCCGCCGCCCCCGCCCACGGGCGGGCCCCGCTCCCGGCCCCGCCCCCGAGATCCCCCCGCGTCCGCCGCTTCCCCGCATCTCTGAGCAACGCCGACAGTCACTGCGATATGGGTTTTTTATTTATATTCAGCACGCGGAATCGCGTTCTCAAACAGGAACCCATGTCATTGGGAAAAAAATAAAATACATATATATTTGTTAATATGTGTACTCCTAGTGTATGTATAATTATTTATAATAAGCATTTGGAAGCGTTAAAGGAACAATTTATATAAAGATTTTTGAAATCCAAGCACACTGATCTACCTGGAAAATCCAAAAGCTGGTAGGCAGGTTGGCTGCAGGCAAATTAGAAAAACTAATCAGCTCTGTATATACAAAACACCACCACAAACTCACTCCATGGGAGCAAAAAACACTAAAACTTTCCCTCATATTACCATATACCACTTATTCCAGTGCCCACAGTACCAACAAATGCCATCCTGGAAAGCAACAGGCAGAATGTTACAGGTAAAGATGTGGGGATTTCTGCTTGGTACAAATCTTCATGCCTTGGGTCTTTATAATAGACTCTCTCTGAAACTCTTAAAGTCACATGCTGCAGTCTATGTACGGTTATTTTAATCGAGATCAAACTAGAGAAACTCAGTATTTGAGTGTAAAGTGCACTGAAGCAGGTAAAAGCTCTACATTTATTAATTCAAGCTCTTCAGGTCCCAACCAAGATTATTTTTTCTTTTCTTTAAGGAGCCATTTCTTGGGGATATGGACCTGGAGGATTTAGTTTAACCCTCCTGCCAAGTGGGCTCATAAGGCACTTGGTGCACAGTAAGAGGCCACATTTTGTCACCTGCTATGTAGTGGCACAACACAGGGCAACATCCAAACAGCCCTTTGGCTTTTTCATTTGGTGCTAATTCCTGGTGTTGAGCAGTGTTTTGGGTACAGCTCCACTGCCTTTAGAACCCTAAACCTGCCCTATATGTATGGCCAGGCTTCCCCCATGTGTGGCTCCTGTTCCTTGACCACCTTTTTAAATATGCTATGAGCAACCCTGTGCTCAGTCATTGAGACAAAGGAAGAAATACTGTCCTGTCATCTCTTCGAGTATTTTTTGCCAGTGCTTTTATTTGGGCCCCCTCGGATTGAGATCTTGCTTCCTATGGAGGGAAGTTGGTATTTTGCTCCTGAAGGACCCGGTTTCCTTAAATAGTTGCCACTTACTTTGGCTGTGAAGAGAAAATAGAGATCATTATTGCAAACACATCCAGTCCCAGTATTGAATTTTATCCATCATTTTGATTTTCAGGATCTATTAAGTCTGAATGACTGAAGCAACTAAAAGCTGGCAGGCACTGAGCCCGAGTGCATCCCACACCAGGACTGGTTGAACTAAATGGTCAGGTTCTTTTCCTATCTCTAGGAAACTTATGGCAGCTGAAAGGGGCAATTCCATAGTTCTCATAATTCTTTCAGGAACGTGGTGTAGTTGTGACAGGCAGATATGAGCAAAGCACACATCAGACAAAGGAGGTGAACTCTGAACATGCAGCTGAATAAAGAACTCCAAAGAGTCTAAATGAGGAAAGAGTTGGATGTTACTGGCCAAGAGTTCTGGTGCTGCAGGCAGTTTGTTTAACTTCTGTGTTCTGGAAATAAAAGGATTTTCCATGTGCTCCACAAATAAAGACAACTGTTAATAAAACACCTGACTTCAGCATCAGCGTCTCTTTGTTGGTAAAGGAGCTGCATAATGATAAATTCTGCCTAGTTCCTGGGTCTGGAGTGGAAAGGAAAAGCAGTGTACAGCACTCACTGTTCAGTTCATCCTGTAATTAGGATCAGATTTATACCTTCTGATTGGACACTAAAAGCTAAATCAGCCCTGGTTTCCTGTGTCAGCATTCAGGAGCTTTCCAGAACATTCACTGTTCAGCAGACTGTTCTGCTCTTGGCCATCCTGTTCTGCAGAAAAAATAAAACCCTGAACTGATCAATGTATCAAATTGCCAGTTTCCCCAGTCAGCTGAGCTAAATGGCCTTGTTTGGAATGACTGCTATAGAATGATTTTTGGTATCTGCTCCCCAGCACACTGTACCAGCACAAGAACTATCAGCTCACACAAATGCAAACCACAAGTTGCACAGACACAGCTCACTCCTGGGGGTGTGCCTTAAGGCAGCACCAGTAAAAAGCATAAACGTGATTATCATTAACTAATACCTTACCAGGCTGCAACAGAATGGTTTTATTCATCAGGGATAGCCTCCGCTGATTCATTTTACAGCCATCTTGGTCCATCAGGTGAGACTTCCAGGCCTAAATTTTAGAAATTAGAAAGAAGGGATAGTAAAACACCAAAAAAATTAGCCAACGATTTACCTGGTCACACAGGGAAAATCAGAGCTGTGTACAGACCTTATGGCAACAGCATTTTAATCTGCTCAAGTATGAGCACCTTGTGACTTACTATGGAATAGAAATCAATATACCCATTATTTTAATATATTTTAAAGACACATCACGTTAAAACAATCACCCTACAAAATCAGCCCCAAGTGGAGGGCAGGCTCACCTCCTCTCCAGGGGGAAAGTTCTCATGGCACAACGGGCAATGGTTTGCCACATTTTCTGGTTGGGCAGCTGAAATTGGCAGAAAAATAATGTAAGAATAGCAAAGACAGGCTAATTTCAAATACAACAGGAGAACTTGCATAGCAAAGAGCATACTCACGATTGCAGTTCCTGCTCTTCACATGTTTGGGCAGCTCCTCCTTGGGCAGGGCCTCACCGCAGCGCTGGCACTTCCCAAAGCTGTCCCTTTTGTCACAGTCAGCCAGCAGGTGCTCTGTCAGGCTCGAGATCTCCACCATCTGCAACACAGCCAGGGCCACCCAGGGAGGTTTGTGCTGAGTAAGTGGGGGTGGGATTCAAAAACCTGCTTACGACATTTTTGGAAGGTAAGTCTCACCTTCCAAAATGACAAGGGGAAAATGTAATTTAGTTCAATTATTAATACATATTCTAATGCTGCTCTTTTCCAAGAGCACTACCCAAATCCCACAGGTGTGCTCAGAATTCATCTGCCTGAGTGTTAAACATCTTATAGTGCCTCAGAACCAGAATAACAACAGCCAATGTCTTTAGTAGCTCAGTCTGACCTGTTTGCAGTGCTCACATCGGGTTAACATGGGGCAGTGCTTCCAGTAATGCAGATCCAACCCTTCCTCTGTGAAGGATTCATCCCTTTCACCACAAAAAATACACAAGCTGGGAAAAAAATACAAACATCAGTGACATCAGAGTGAAATGGATGAACCCTGTTCCTTCTGTTCAAAGCTGTTCTGAAAAACAGCCACCAGCCTGGAATATAACATTTTTTCCCCATGTAGTGCTGACCTTAGGATGGGGCAGGTACTGGGATGTAATTTATGGTCAGTACAACTATAAAGCATTTGTTCATATAGAAACATTAATTCCACTAAAGCCCTGACAACAGCTCACTGGAACTGGCCTTCCTGGCTCCAGAATTTCCAAGTGCTTCCTCTGTGACCTTCCCTACAATACCCAGGAAAGCTACACCGTATTCTTCCCTTATTTCACACTGGTACCTGAATATTAAACTGTGGCCATTTCTTATCCTAGAAGCAACTCGTCAGAAAACAAAGTCACACTACCCAAGAACTTGCAAAAAAAAAAAGAAAACTAGCTGGGATTGCTTGGTGATAATTCCCAATCTGTTAGAAGAGATTTTAGTCATTACTGTTTCACTGCTGAAGGTATTAGCTTTGATCTACTAGAGAAATATTATTACTGTTATTAGCTCACAGGTGCTTAAGGTGATTAGAGACTGCTCATCTCACTTACTTATCCAGGTAATTTGCAACTGAGGAAACATCCTCTGGAATCTCTGCTGGTGCAGCCTGGGGGCTTTTGTTTACCTGGTAATCTAGAAGGAGAGACCTATTAAACCAAGATCACATTTTAACTCATCTACAGTTCTTAACACTATTTGAAACTACCTACCTTGATTATTTGGTTTCTGAAAGTCAGATTCTTTCTCCTAAAGAGCAAAGAAATTTTAGGTCAGAAATTTGCTAAATGGCTGTGATGACTTCAGGGAGAAAGGGAACACATTATATTCTAAATTTTCTCTATAATTTGAAGTTTAGAAGGAGAGCCAAAGCACTAAAAGGTTTGTGCTTCTGGTGCTCAGGCAAATCTCTCAAGTATGAAGGTTTTATTTTATATTATAAAGCTATTATTATTATTTTATACTGGACTGCTAAAGAGGAAAGTCACCCAGTGTATGTCTGGAGTCTCTCTCTCTTGTTAAGTATAATGAGACAACATCAATGTTCATTATCTAAGCCCACAATACCTGAGCAACAAAGGACTAAAATGAATAAAAATTAAAACCAAACCACCCTCACCTCTTCACCTTGAACCTCTGCCTGCACCTCCTTTTGAGCTGCCAGCTGATGTGGCAGAACTCTTATTTCTTCATTCTTCTGTTTCTCTGCTTCTTCTTTGGCTGCCTTTCTCTGTGCCTGCCAGGAAATACTTGGTCAGTTCCAAAGGCATTGGAACCATCCATCACACAGAACAGATTGCAAAACACATCAGCACAGAACAAATGGCCACTGCAGAACTGCAAACTTCCTGCACAGTTAAATGATGGGTCATTTACAGTGACACCTCCCTCCTCCCAAATTCAGAAAGGAACACCCAGCAGAGCCTTTGTGCTCACTGCTCCCAAGGCCTGCCAGCAGAAAACACTATTTGTGCGTTTTCCAAACTGCTCATGCACTATTTCAGCAGGACCACCTCTGTATTCCTTGCTGGCTTTATTCCCAAGAGGGAGTACAGGGAACACACTGAGCTATCTGCACTTAGGAAGGTTCCCCACACACCTGGAGACACTCTGTACCTGTGCCGGGAAACCAGGGCATTACTCAGCTGAACATCACGTGTGAAGTGGCCACGTACGTCCTGCCCTCCCCTTACATACCCTCATTTCAGGCTCAGAAAGCTTCCCGTCGATTTTGGCAAAGCCCTCGAAGAGTGTTCTGTAGCGCACGGTCCTGCGGGCGCTGGCGTTGCCCGGAGGGAGATGCTCCAGCACGGCCGCGCGGTGCTGCCCGTACATGTCGAAGATGATCCGCAGCACCACGTCCCGCACCTCGCGGGCCCTGTGCTCCAAAGCTCCTGTGGCAAACTGAGAAGAAATAAAGAATTCGGTCTCTCTTTTCTCACGTTTCTAAGGACTCATTTATTAGTCCCAAAGCAATTATTTTCCTGCAGCAGGAGGAATCTTCCTACAGACAGGTTTTGCAAACGCTTTTTGACCCGTTGATTCTTTTCCCCCCATGTTGACATCTTGGTTCATAGAATTATAGAATGGTTTGGGCTGGAGGGGACCTTAAAGCTCAGCTTGTTCCACCCCCCTGCCATGGGCAGGGACACCTTCCAGTAGTCCATGTTGCTCTAACATGGCCAACCTGGCCCTAAACTACCAGCACTGTTTACTGGGGGGAATACACCTCTTCAGGAATTCACTAAGCACTCCAAAACAGCCAGGCAAGGCCCCATAAAAGCATGAAAAAGACCTCCATGTGCTGCAGCCTCCTACCTTCATGACGTTGTTGACAGTAAACCCAGAGTTCTCAGTCCCCAGGGCTCTCAAGAGACATTCCACCAATTCCACGTGACTCATCGCCAGGTGTGTTGGGGAGTTTGGTTTTAATGGTTTAACCAGGTGGACTGGGACAATCTGGAGAGGTTTAACTTCAGTGCACAGTGCCATTTCCTAGAAAAAGAGAGTCAATGTGCAGGCTGGAGCTCAACAAGGACAGCTACCTGTTATTCTCATCTCTGCAGGTCACTTGCAACAGAGAACACAAGAGTTACATCTTCCTACACGTGCAGCAGCAGCAATCCCCACACTGTCCCTCACAACAGAGGTGACAAAACATGGCCAGAAAAAATTCTGCAAAGACATTCAGTTGGTTCTGCCACTTTGCCTTCCACATATTTACAGCCATAAACTAAAATACAAGAAGTTCCACCTCAGCATTAAGACCTTCTCTCCATGGAGGGGCTGAACAGGCTGCCTGGGGAGGGCATGGAGTCTCCCCCTCTGGAGACATTCCAAACCCACCTGGACACACTCCTGTGTCACCTGCTCCAGGTGACCCTGGCAGGGGGGGTTGGACTGGATGATCTCCAGAGGGGCCTTCCAACCTCAACAATTCTGGGATTCTGTGATAAGCTGTAACCCTTCACAGCAACCAACCCTGGTCTCCCAGCCCAGCCTGATCCACCTGGGAGCTCCACGACCTGCCTAATCAACTCAAAGCCCAACGTGAAGGGAAACACCCACCCGGATGAAGGCAGAAGCCAGAAGGCGAAGACGGGATGAAGAGTCTCCTGTTCTCGAAAGCAAATCTGGCAGGGTTGTTTCCACGCAATAAGAAGTCTCTAGCTTCCCTAGTTTATGTTTTGGTATATATTGTGTAATGATCATTTTTAAGAGTTTCAGGGAAGCTTGAAAAACCTAAACCAAAAACAAAAAGGAAACACTGAGCAAAAATACCACAGAGATCCCTCTTTTCAGGCAATACTGTAAAATCTGTTCTTAATCTGGAATAACAGTAGCATTCTTAGCAGAAGCTACTTCAGATAACTCTCTTCCAGAAAACCTGTTGCCAAGGCTTCTGAAAGGCTTCAGAAATTGTTTTATAAAGAGTAAAAACTCTTGATTTGTTTTCTTCTCTTCTTGCTGAAGGCTTATTTGAAAGCAAAGTGTCCTTCAGATAAGTGCAGTCTCTCAAGCTGGAAACTAAAAGTTATTTCATTGCTGTATTTCAACTTTTAACAAAATAAAAGGCTCAACCTCACTGCACATTTACTGCATCAGCAGGTATTCCTCCAGCTCATGGCTCAGTCCAGGCCAGTATTTTCCATCTGCTCAATGACAGACACTGCCCAATTGTTTTGGAGTTTGGGGGGTTTTGTTTTGATTTTGAACTTACTCAACAGTACATCTATAAACTATTTGTTCAAGCAGGTTAACATCATGGCTCTTCAATTTTGGCTGCCAGTCCTTCCCTGGAGCATCAAACCTGTCCCAACTTACAAAAGACACGGTGTCTTTGATGGCTCTCCTTATGAGGAAAACAGCAGCCCTCAGCATGTTTCTTAAATCCTCCTTTGGAGTGTTCACTGACACTTCCATCAGCTTCTTATACACAGCCAGTAACGCGTCTTCCCGATATGACCAGGTTCTGGAATACGCTCCTGAAACCTGAGCACAGAGCAAGTTTATCTCTTAAAAGGTCCACACAGATATTTCAATACATATTCAACATTTATACAGAGAAAGAACCTCAAAAAAAGCTTATGAACTGAAGCATGAAATCCCCAAGTGTTCCCTACAGGAATGTGGCTTTATTAAAAGCACACATTTTGAAATGTGACAAATGAAATGGATTAACAGGTCAGGCTGAAGGAGTCCTTCGAGGCACAGTGAAGGCTTCTCTCCCTATAAAAGACAGTGGGAAGTTATGGGTATTCTGAGTCCCTACCCTAAAGCAGACAACTGGGTCCTGTCTGCTTACCAGCCCATCAGCTAATCAAACATACAAGCTACAGCATCATATAAAAACAGGTATCCATATAGCCAAGGCCAAATTTTAATCTCAGTTTCTAAGTAATAGCTCTGAATATGTAAAAATCCTTTCAACTCAACACAGACCACAACAATCTGTGGGTCTATGATGCTGGTTTTTACCAAAGCTTCTCCAAAAACGTCAACAGCAGGGCTGGCCTCCCTCAGTGCCTTCTCCGTGAGTGGTTCGGGCTCCCCAGTAATGCCAGTCCTCGGGGTATCACCAGTGTCCTGTTCAGTCACCCCTGGCTCCAGGTAGGCAACAGCTTCATCCATCTGCTTGCAGATGGCTGGGAGAGGCCTCTCGTCATAAGGTAAAGATTCAGCCTAACAGAGAAGACAAAATTTGAGTTCTGGAAATGACTCAGATGTGAAGTGGTTTCATCGCTAATTGGATTCACCTCAACACAAATTTCTCATATCAAAGCTGCACAATTAACCACGAGAGGAACCACAAGACCTCATTGTTTGGAAGGCTGGACACCAGGTCCTTTGCTCTGATGGGTTTTGCAGTTACAGAGGTAACACTACTCACATTTTCCTTGGAGGCTGTGGGCTGAGTCCGAGAAGGACGAGGGGACTGCTGGGAAACAATGGGCTCAGCAGAAGTGGCATCCACTGGCTGCTCCTGCAGCACAGGCTCTGCCCGCTGGGGCTGTCCCTCAGGTGGGTCTGTGCGCTCAGGAGGGGGGTGCTGGGGGCTCACAGTGTCACCCACAGGCCCCAAAGGCAACTTGGGTGGTTTTCGGATCTGAGAAAGGGAAGGAGATTCTGTACAGCAGGGCTAAAAATGAGCTAAAATCAATTAGTACAGCTACACCTCTGGCTGTCAGCAGGATTCTGCGCTTCCAAGTAAACATCAGACCTGGCTCGCAGGTGTGTCATCATTCCCACTGGATGCAGCTTTATCAATCAATCAGAAAATAACTCTGTGTGGATGCCTGTGTGGAGAGACTACAAAGCTTCCTCTCCTAAGAACAACATAAAACTATATAAAACAATCACATGGATTCTATATGGTTAAGCCTTGGTGCCAGCCTAAGACTCTTCTACCCCTCCAAGAGACAAGAAATTATCTTATTCACCTGCACCAGGTAGCCCTGAAATTAGGCAAAACATTCAGGATTCCAGTGCCATTTGCTCGAGACTTCAACAGTTTAACATAACTTACAGAGATCTAGGCATGTTCATAAACACACCACGTGAGAGTCTTTGGCTGGGGAAATCCACAATCCAAACAGGAAACTGAAAAGCTCATGTAAATGTCATAATAGCTGTGTAATAACTCTTACTCTTTGAACCTTTTTGGTTGCTCTGCCATTTCTATTCAGAATACCCCCCGAGTTCAGACTGACAGCACCCACCAGCAGCTGTGCATCCAGGAGGTCGTGCAGCTCCAGCTGCTGATACACCTTCAGCCGGTACTCATCCATTTGTTCCTTCTTCTTCTTGGCAAGATCATAATCCTCCTTCTCCACCGCGTAGCGCTTCTCCACCTCGTACCGGCCCAGGCGCTCCCCCACCTAGAATTGGTACAATGAGACACCTTGCAATAACCTTACAGTCCATTTCTTGGAATCATCTTACTCTATTTATGTATATATTTCCAGCCAAATTGTTCAATCAAACCATCTGAATTTAAAATTATTGCTTTGGAAATACATTGGAAATCATTACGATTCCACACGACCGGCAGGGCCCTGGTGGGCCACTGGAACACAGCTCCACTTAGGAGACAAAAGACCTCTCAACACCACCTTCTGCAAGTCTGCAATGGCCTGTTTGAGTTTCTTGGCGTGGTCGTAGCGCTCGTGCCACACGGCTTCCCGCTTCCTCTCATCCAGCCTACGGATTATCTGAGCGACCTCCGGGTCCTGGTACATGTCAAAAGCCAAATCATCCAGAGGGGAAATGGAGTCAGATTTCCTGAAGTCATAAAATGAATAAAATAACCCACAATAAGCCAGGCTGAGGGAATGGCTTCTCTTTTTGCTAGCAGGGAATCAACAAAACACAGAGACCAACAACTACTTTTGAGTGAGTAGAGGTTTTCCCAGAGTATACACAAAGAACATCCTTACCCAAGGTAAGTTCCATCTAAGGCAGGATCATCTGATTTAATTCCCAGGTAATGGTCTATCAGCTTCTCTCTAGAGGGCTTTGGAAGGAGGCAAAAAAAAAATCTTAATGCATATTCACCAACATCAGGTGTGTGTTCAGGACAGAAGTTCTGACTTGCCATTACCCCAGGAACCTGTACCTGAACAGGTGGAACAGCACCTGAGCAAGAGGACAGGGATGCTTTGCACTTACACTGCTCATGCTGTCATTGCTGTAGTCTGCTGGATCCCCAATGATGTTCACAGCTACCAGGGCAACCTGCAGAGATTCACAGAAAATGGAAATGCATAAACCTGGTTGTGATTCCAAGTCACTTCTAACCTGTTATTTGTATCTTCTGTTTTAAAACAAGCCAAAATAAATCCAGGAGCTTTCAACCAACATTTCTGGCTTCTACAGATCAAAGAAGCAGATTTCTGTGCCTGTTCTGTACTAGGGAAGTGTCACTTGGATTACCAGGCAAAGACTCTTAACTCACCTGTCCATATACGTTGTATTTATTGACATAATTCTTATGGAAAATCAGCTTCAGGTACTGGCCAACTGCATCCAGGTACACAGATTTTAACTCCCGTGCTTTGAAGTCAGTCTTCTCATTGTCTGAGAGAGGGACGTAGCTGGGAAGGAAAACACAACACCTGAGCAGAGGACACATCCAGACACACAGGTGGATTTCTGCTCCTTGGGGTAGGACCCTGCTAAGGTTCAAAACTCCCTCATAACTGAGGCAACATCTGCTGTCACCTGACAAGGCTTTTCGTCTGCAGGTGCCTCTTACACCTGCATCTTCAGCTCTGTCACATATCCACACGAGCCCCAGGTCTCTCTGCTGCTTTTACAGCATGTCCACACCTCTCGCAACCCGTAATGAACATTATTTTCCCCTGATTTTCTGATTAACACAATAAACCCACTCAGAGCTTTCTGACTCACCCAAGTCTCTGAAACCTCTCTGACTGATATGGAGAGAAGTATTCAGGTAAACTTTCACTGATGTAGAACTCAATTTTGCTGGAAATCATGTACTGGTGAGCAAGCAGCTGCAGCTTCCGTATCCGACACCTCTCCACCAACTGCAGGATGATCTCCTGGGGATACTGACAGAGCCTGAAACAGACACAGTTTCTAAATGAAATCATCCTTTTGAAGAGGACTTTGCTTCCAACTTGAGCAACATTTAATTATTAAACTTTCACATTGCTATTGTTTAAACCAGCATTATAAATACTGTAAAAAGAACCCGAAGAGCAGAGTGGAAACACTTTTCCCTTCCCTTTACTGCACTATGTGTATGTTCAAGTGCCCCACACCAGTCTAGAGGACATGCTGAGACAGCCAGATTTTTCACACTAAGCCAAAGCAGTTGCAATCTCCAAGCCTGCCAAGATCAAAAGCACTTTTCCCTTTTCCAGGCCTTTATTTAAATGCAACATGGTGCCTTTAGGTGGCAACCAAGGTGCTTTTTTCTCCTCAGGATGAGGATTCCATGGGACTAAAGTAACTTTTTTTTTTCATCAGTTTGGTCTGGGGTCCTGCAAACTACTCTTGGCCATGCCTGGCACAGCTCCCACTCGTCTTAAACTCTGTTCTGCAGAACATCACAGCTTCAGGACCACTTGCTGGCAGTACCTGGGTGAGCGCCACCCGTTCACCGTCGGCCCGTGAACCATCAGCTCCCGGGCGCTGAACCCGTCCTCGTGTCCCGACGAGCTGACCACGGTGAAACCGATCTTGTGTGGCATCCTGAGGAGCTGAGCTGGTCACAGCCACGGCCTTCAAGCTTAAACTCATCCCTGGAAGGACGATAAAAGACCGCTGAGACACTACAGTCAAAGAATGAAATCCTGTGGTCTTGTTAAGTCAGTAGATGATGACCACAAATCTCAGTTTTCTTTAATTAATACTGGCATGACAAAACACACCACGTTCTTGTGGTGTGGGCTTGGTTAGTGCTGAGCACTTGCAGAGCACTTTGCCAACAGCAGTTTGATAAGCCAAGATGGAGCTTTAAGCTAAGAGCTCCAAACACACACAGGAGCGACCTGCACCACCCTCTGCGTGCTGGAGCCACAGCAACAGACAACAAACCAAGCGCAGGGTTTGTCAGTTTAGCCCCTTTTCCCAGCCCCGGGGACGGCAGAGGGTGGGGGCACAGGACAAGCACCGGGCCCGCCGCTGCCCACCCCGGGCCGTGCCGGTGTTATGGCCCCAAAACCCTCCCTCCCTCCTCCTGCCGCTCGGCCCCGCAGGCCCGGAGGAGCCAGGGCAGCGCCGGCCCCGGGGAGCAGCCAGGCCGGGCCGCGCACAAGGCACGGGGGTCCCGGCGGGGGCTCGGGGAGGGCCGGGCGGGGGAGCGGAGCGGCCGGGCCGGGGTCCGGTCCCCACCTGGCTCGGCGCGGCCATCGCCGCTCTCATGGCAACGCGGCCCGCCGCGCACGCGCCACCCACGCGCCCGGCGCGCCTGCGCGGGGCGGGCCCGGCCCGGGACGGGCACCGGGATCGGGACCGGGACCGGGATCGGGATCGGGATCGGGATCGGGATCGGGATCGGGATCGGGATCGGGATCGGGATCGGGACCGGGACCGGGGAGAGCAGCACCGGGCGGGACATGGCGGAGCCGCCGCGGCCCTTCCGCCTGCGCGGGGCGGGCGGCCCGCAGAAGTTCGGGGTGGCGGCCGGGAGCCTGCGCGGGCTGCTGAGGAAGGGCTGCCGCCTGCTGCAGGTGCCGGGCGGGCCGGGCGGGCCGGGGGCTGCCGGGGGGCCCGCCCGCCGCTCACCCGCCCGCGGGGCAGCTTCCCTTGGCAGGCAGCCGCCTGTGCCTGTACGAGGACGGCACGGAGCTGACCGAGAGCTACTTCCGCGTGCTGCCGCCGCAGACCGAGCTGCTGCTGCTGGGCCCCGGGCAGAGCTGGCGGGGATGTGAGTGCGGGGCCGGGCGGGGGTCCCCGGGGGCACAGCTGGCGGGGATGTGAGTGCGGGGCCGGGCGGGGGTCCCCGGGGGCACAGCTGGCGGGGATGTGAGTGCGGGGCCGGGGGCTCGGCTCAGCCGGTGCCACCCCTCCCGCCCCAGGTGCCAGCGACATCGAGCGGCTCCTGGCCGCGCTCTGCAGCCAGCGGGATGCTCTGGTGGAGGCTGCGAGGAAGCTGCTGACGGATGAGCGGGCTCCCCGCAGGCAGAAGCTGCTGGCGGATCTCATCCACAACCTGAGCGAAAACATCCTGGCCGAGGACAAGGAGGACGACAAGAAGTGGTTTGAAGGTGTGTCTGTGGCCACAGAGAGCTGCTGAGGGACCCCCGGGGCTTGTTCTGCTCAAAGTCAGTTTTGTTACTTTACTGCTCTTAAAGAAGAGTTGTTTAAAAGTTTGGGAGTGCTTCTGGCTGGTGGGATAAGGTACCTGGTCAGAGGACTAGTTATCCCTTCCAGTAGCATGTGTCTTTAGGTTTCTTTAAAATACAAGCATATTTATTATCAGCAAATGGTAAAGACAGCATTTCCTATTGGTCTGTCCAAGATTTTTTCCCCATTAATCTAGGTCTGCATTTATGATCTTTTAATGATTTTTTAGTGGTACATCAGTAACTAGCACAGCTCAGCCAGCTAACCTCGCCTTATGTTCTGTTTATAACTCTGCAAGGTCCCTCTCCCATTCCCAAGTCATTGCTGCAGTTCTTCCCCAACAATTCTGTTTTCCTTTCACAATCTCTTAGTGTTCCACATATGCACGTTAACAAGAAATATTTAACAACCACAGTACCAGCCACTGCTCTCCCAGCAGATGCTGCGTGGGGCCCCTTTCAGTGCTAAGGGCAGGGTAGTCCCAAACCGGTAAAATAAAAATGGGAAAGAAAAAAAACCTGTGCATCCTGAGTTAGTGAAAAGCCGGGATGAACACCCAGCTGGGCAGGAGCCGTGCTGAGGTACAAAGCAATCTCGCTCCCTCCAGGGCTGGAGTCTCGGTTCAAGAACAAATCCAGCTACATGCGGCACAGCTGCGAGAGCAGAATGCGGGGCTACATGAGAGAGGTACAAGTTTCTGTTGGAGCAACTTATTGTCAACAGTCATTCTGTGGCCACGGGAATTTTTAAAAAGCACTTTTACAGTGCAGCATTGTGGTTGTAGAACAGAGCCTCAGGCTGCCACAGGAACCAAGGAGTGACTGTTGGATTTCCCCCTCTAGGTTAGTGGTTTTATTTCAAACGTTCATCCTGCAGCAAGAGACGCCTACAGAGGGGTAATGGACCTGATGGCAGATAAACTGAAATCTGTGAAGTATAACGGGTGCTACTTCGACAGAAGGGAGGAGGAGGAGGCAGCACGTCTGTGTACTGTGGAGGGGTGGTTCTCCTGTCAGGTATGTGCAGCCCTTCCCAAAGCAGACTCATGGAATCATGGAATGGTTTGGGTTAGAAGGGACCTTAAAATTCATCTCATTCCACCCCTGGCCATGGGTGACAAGTGTGACACCTTTCACTGCAGCCCTCTGGTTTCACAGGGACCTTTTGACAGAGACGACTGCCCGTGTAAGCATTCCATCAACCCCTACAGCAACAGGGAAAGCAGGATCCTCTTCAGCACCTGGAATCTGGATCACATGTATGTACAAAGTGTTAATCCAGACTTACCTGATTCATGCCCTTCCACTCCCTCAGGAAAGGTTTAGCCTTAGTCTTTACTCCCCTGCTCTGCCATGAATATTTTGTGAGAAGAGGTGCTGGGGATGCTGCAGCTGTTCTGAGAACAACACCCTGAAGACAGATTATCATCCTGTCTCTCATTCGCTGCTTTGCTCCTGTGCAGATTTTCTTTGTATGGAAGCAAACCCCTCCTCACTGTGTTATCTCTGTGAATTCACTCTGGCAAAACCCCTCAGACCTATTTTAAATGTGCATGTGATGCAAAAAGGATTTGCTAAACTAATTTCCTTGGGGGGAAAAAATCATAAACCTAGTTATGGAGAAAGAATTCCAGTTCTGCCTGGCTCTGAAAGAAAGATGGAGGCTTGATTGCTCTGAAAAAACTCCTGATGGCAATATTGTTTTCTCTTTTGTGTCCCCGAGAATTGAGAAGAAACGTGCTGTTGTCCCAGAACTGGCAGAAGCTGTCAAAACACGCGACGGAAGAGAAGTGAACTGGGAATATTTCTATCAGCTGCTGTTTACCCTGGATAATTTAAAACTCGTACATATTGCTTGCCATAAGAAAACCACTCATAACCTCAGCTGTGACAAAACCAAAATTTACAGAAAGAGGAAGCAAAACCACGAGATTTCCTAGTGCTGTCTCTGGAAGGGACCTGCTGCTTTTTCTAATCGTGCCAGTGCTGTTGTTTTTAAATAGCTCCAGTTTCTTAAACAAGAACTGTTTAAGAGTCCCTGGCACGGGACTGGCTGAGTAACACAACCACAGCTCACAGAGCACACACTGATGCTCCCTCGCCTTCCCACTCCCTTTGAGCCTCCCTCAGCTCACACTGCGCCAAGGGTGTTAAAACCCAGCTGTGAGGGTACAAAATAAGGCTGACACTGTTTCCACCCTACCACCTCTTTCCTGCCATGACCACGGCACAAAACTTGCAGTGCACAGAAAGGAAACCTGCACAGAACATTTCTCACAAACTAACCTGTGGGGGCTCGTAGACTCCTATTCCTCTGTAAGCCAAACAAAGAATGATTTAGGATCATTGTTTTGCTCCATGCCTTTTGCAGGTAGCAGCTGGTTATTCCAGAAATAGGAAAAGTGATTCAGCAGCCGAGCTGCCACCTCACCCCTGCCAACCTCCTGCCCTCATCCCTGACCGCTCCTTTGCTGTCACTTCAGACGTGCCTCTCCCAGAAGGAAGAGCAAGGCCATGGCATAGCTTTGCTTTTCCCACCTTTGTTTGCCATCTCCCCACTGATTCCCTCTTCTTTTGAACATTTTCTGCCTTTTCAGCTTAAGTTTGCTTGAATTCAGGACCACCAGCAACAACATCTATAACAATCAAGTTTACAATAATCATGTTTACCTGGTGCTGTAGAGAATACTGATGGGGTAAAATACTTCCTACCTCAGACAATAAAACACAAATAGATGGATTTTTACTTGATTTTCTTTTTTAATACCAGCTGATAGCGAGTGAACTTTTAGGGACTGTCACTGTAATCAGTGTGATTTTTTTAAATAAAAAAAGTGACCCCTTATCTGCATTTGTGAGTATGTGAATATAGAGGTGCACGAGTGGTTAATCAGGTATGATAAAGCATTACGGTCTGAGCACAGGGAGACATACATGTTTATGGAGCACCAGCTACTTACTGCTCTGTAAATAACCCAGAAAGCTCTGTCTCCCATATTGATGCTCCTGCATGGAGCTCCTACTCCACATGGAATTGTACAGAGATGGTATTTCTGTGTAAGCCCCAACTTACTGGGTCTTGGAAGCTTTGCTACAGAGAGTAGTGATTTACTGTAAACAACAAACTCAATCCCCTCCCAAACATTTCAACCTGAGAAGTAAGGAGGTGCATTTTAAATACAGGATCTCTAACTCCACTGCTCACAATTCATCCATCCAGCTTGCCTGTTTGACGCTGGGGAGGGCAGCACAGCCGGGATTCTGGTGACAAACCCAGTGTCACCTGTGTGGAACACATCCCCAGAACTGGAAATCACCATTTTGCAGAGTGAAATGGATGCCTGTGTGTGAAACCGTGCTCGCTAGAAATAGCCAGCAGCAAACACAGCACTGAAGGAAAGCTGCTGCAAGATGGAGCTGGGCTGGAACCATGAATATGCGATTAAAAATCTGGATTTTTCCATGCTACAGAATTAGAGTGAAAAGGAGCCAAGAAATATTGTTGACAGAAACAATGCATCAGCTGGAGTGGAAATGGGACTGCATTACCATGCCATGCATATACAATTTGTTTGCCTTACAACTTTTGAATGTTTAACAGGCTCTAGCTGTAGAAATTAATATTTATTTAAACCATCTGCTGATAACATTTTTCCTCTATTTTTAGAAACATGGAAGGAACCATAACAATAAATAACTGGAAGCTTATTGCATAATCACACTTTCAAAGAAATACTCCAACAAACACTGGGTGAATTAACAGTTCCTGGAATTAGCTGAGGTTGCTCCTTTCTTTTCAAACATTCGGGGGGGGCTGCCCCACATCTTAGCAATCCATACTTGTTCCTCTGCCCATTAAATCCTCCTTTACATCCACCAAAGCATTTGTTTACAAAATCCCTGCTGGAAATCAGTCGAAAATCCTTAATGAGCTGCAGCACAGGGTGTCACAAAGAACAACTTTTACAGCAGAGAGTGGAGGTGGAGGCAGCAACACAGGGTGGGTGTTTGGGGAGCTGACGTGCAGTAAAAACGTGCTGAACTCCCAGAGATGAACACACTGAACTCACACTGACATCCTGCATTGCGTTTTGGCAGCAGAACTGCATGGTAGAGGTTTAATTGGTCCTGGTTTAGATGTAAACAACCCACACAACCTACACAGGAGAGATCCTTGTCCCTCTTTGTACCAGGGAGTCAACTGGCTCCTTTATTACCTGGGTGCCAGAGACATCACAGAATTAAAAGAATGTTGTTTTAGCATCTTTTCCTTGACTATTTCAAAAAAAAGGAGTGAAACCAAATATTCCCTCTAAATTGAGGCTCAAATTCATAAAAAACCTCTTAGGAATTTCTATTTTCCCTGGGTTTTTTCCCTAAATATTACTGGTGAAGTGGTAAATTACAATTTATTTCCAAATCACAGTCTTTGCCCCAGATAACTGTAGGAATACTGTATCTGCCAATTCCAGCAACACAAACTCCCAGTTTTCTCCCTGAGAAAAGGCAAACACAGACACCTTATGTTACTGACAGAACCATTGCTATGTGGTTGTGAAGAAAAAGAAGAAAGGTTTAATTTGTTTACAGTTTGTTGTTAGACAACATCCTCTTCCTCCTCCTCATCTTCCTTTGCCATGAAATGGAGGTTCCTGACTTCTCGCCTGCTCATCGTTGTGCTTGGGAGTGCAACTGCTGGGAGATCCTGGAGGAAACAGATAAATTCATTAAGGAAAAGTCCAAGGCAGGGGATTGGAACTGGATGATCTTTAAGGTCCCTTCAAACCCAAGCCATTTTATGATTCTGTTAAGAATCAATGACCAGTAAAAAACTATTTTGACAACAGTGCTGCAGCTGTGAATGTCTTTATCAGAAAAAAATATCTCTTATGGAATTGGACTAAAAAATCCAAATAAGAAAGATTTTACACCTAAAATTAATTTGGCTGGGCAAGTAATTTCATCTCTGATTGAGACAGTTCTGTTGTGGGGACAGCGATATGACTCCAGATGTCCCACAACACTGGTCAAGTTTGCCAACAATTTTGAGGCAAATTCAAAGTGGAGCAGAGCTGAGTGTAAAGCACCAACACACTCAGCACCTTACCGGCTCAAAATCCCCGAAGAAGCGGTGCACTGGCATGGGCTGGTTGCTGTCCTCGTCCGAGAACCCGCTGTGTTCCAGCTGCAGTGGCCTCCTCGGGCGGTCGGTGTCCTCCGAGCCAGACTCCTCAGCCAGCACGCTCCCACAGCTGCTCTCCTCTTCACTGAACACGTGACGGTGCAGGTACCCACCACTGCCCACTTTTAACGGGGTACTGCTCAACCTCACTGCACGTGGCTCCAGAGAAACATCACGCTCCTCCTCCTGTTTCCCTTCGTTAGTCTCTGGAATGCTTTCACCTTTTTCCTGCTGGAATGTATTGGTGTCTCCTGGATCTTCTGAACCTCGATCCCCATCAGACGCTTTTGGCATTTCCCCCAGCGCAGCAAGGTTTCCACTTCCACATGCAAGGCCTTCCAGTTCTGGTTTGGGACTGCTTTCTTCCCATTTCATCCTCTTTGAGGGTCGTTCATCAGCCACTTTGTGTGACAAACACTATTAGGAAAAAACACAAGATTCTAAACCTCATTTGAAATACAGAAAAATACAAGCACCTTATCTCTTTAATTGAAAGGCTGGATGGGGAACTGAAGGGCTCCATCACATGAGCAACACCTTGATCTAAATCTAAGAAAAGTAATGAGTAGAAAGTGCACATGAAGAGAGGAAAACAGCTGAAGGCAACTCATATAAGCCACAACATACAGTCCATCACCAGCAGAAAGCCACTTAGAGCATAAACTGGCACCATATGAGGTTAATGTCTTATCTTAATGTCCTTATCTTCTTAGGGATGCTGTTGATGACGCTACATGTACCAGGACTGACTACCCAGCATGGCGAAGCAGCACAGCCCACTCTGAGTTCCTGCACAGGCACAAACAACGCGCCGGAGAGCTGGCAAAGGCGAAGAATTTACTTAAATTCTCCTGGTGATGCTCAGCTTGTAGCAGTTAACAACAAGCTGCAATCCCCACGCTGCGACTGCCCGGCCCCGGGGCCTTGCCCCCGCTTCAACCCACCCGGCCCCGTCCATCCTACCGGGCTCGCCGTCTCGGTTTCTTCCCCCGCGGGCTGCGCAGGGTCGGTGGCCGGGGAACCCTTCGCCCCTCTGCCGGGCCGCCGCCGCCGGGGCCGCGCTGGGGGAGCGGGTCCGGGGGGCTGCGAGCGCCGCCCGCCCCTCACCACGCCGCCCGCCGCCATCTTGGCAGCGCGCGGGGCCCGCGCTCGCCATCTTGTGGAGCCGCCTCGAGCCGGCCGGGCAGGGCTCGCGGCCCAGCAGCCCCTGGCGAAGCGAGCACAGAGCGGGCACGGATCGCAGAATCGTGGGGTAGTTCGGGTTGGAAGGCACCCTGAAGATCATCCAGTGCTGCCCCCTGCCATGGGCAGGGACACCTTCCACTAGCCCAGGTTGCTCCAAGGCACGTCCAGCCTGGCCTCGGACACTTCCAGAGATGCCTAGTCTAAACCTACCCTCTCAGTTGGAACCCATTCCCTTTGTCCTGTCACTCCAGGCTCTTGGAAATAGTCTTGCCCCATCTTCCCTGTAAGTTCCTGTCAGGTTCTTCCTTCGTACCCACTACCCGAGATCTCCCTCACAGCTGTTGCCTGAGGAAAAACCCAGCCCCATCCTGCCTTAATAAACCTCTGAGATCTTTTGCTTCCCATCATATCTTCCTCCTGGAGCAGCGCTCGCCCCCATCCAAGATGTGGCCAGAGAGTTATTATTCAGATGTGCCTCTCTCTCATTTCCACAGCCCTCAGGGAACAAATTATGTCAGTAACTCAAATCCCCCTTTAACTTCAAGGACTCTGACGATGAGCAGATGAGTTTCCGTGCGGCGAAGCACCCAGATTTAAGTACGCAATTATCCCGGCTGGTGTTGCCGGGCAGGAGGAGCGCTGCTGCGGGGAACGACGGCAGTGCCGGTGCCCTGACAGCCGCGTCCCCGCGATGGGGCCCGCGGGCTCCATCCATCACATTAAACACAGCTCCTTCTCCGGTTAATTCAGCGCTTTGGGGACGCTGTGGGGATTTTTATAATTCTGTCCATCTGAGGGCACAGGAGCTTGTTTTTTTATAGCAGCCATTAATGTTCTTGCTCATTGCAGAGCCATCCCACGAGTCTCAGTGGTACCTGTGCCCCTCTGTCCAGCTTGGGTGATTAAATGCGTGTCTGTTCATCCTGGCCTTAAAAAACAGGAGCAACAATTTAAATCGCAAAAATAAGTGGCAAGAATGGGGATATTCAAGTAAGGCGTATTTTCTCAAAAGCATAAAATCTCCCAGTTAAACCATGCAGGTTTGGAGATGCCTGCTCATTGTTGTGCAATTTCCCTCGGTGCTTAGGGCCCTTCTGTGCTTTGTTCTTCGGGTGAGATAATTCATACTCTTCTCCAAAAGCTTCTTGACTTGCTCCACTCTTGCAGTGCTGTTGCTTGCAGCCATGGAATACAGATGATTGTTTTTATTAGGCATTGAAAACTTAGACTGTCTATTGTAAACAGCAGCAGACTAAAAGTGGCTGATGAACAGTGTTTCTGCAGCTGGAAAACTTGGTGGTTGTTTTAATTTCCACATCAAACTGAAAAAAGCAAGGGAAATTTAATGTTGGCAATTCTAATAAATATTTTTAACAACACTGTATGTTTCTTGTTGTTCATGCTGCTTTAGAAAGCTGATATGTACGTCCAAATGATGAAGAAGCAGCCCCTGGGGCTTCTCTGACCTAGTGCAGTCAGGGGTTGAGATGCAGGGCCACAGGCACCCGAGGCTCTGCAGGTGGCCTGAAGGGACAAAGCACCTCAGATGGAACCAGGATGGCAGGGCTCCCACCAGAGCTCTTGTGTCACACTCACCCCATTCTCCCCTCTAACCATGTTATTTTGGGGGCAGGTGGTGGCAGTTTCACAGCTGCAGATGTTGCTGCATTTTCTGAAATCCAACTGAGATAACAACTGTCACACAGCACAGAAAGCACCTGGGAGAGACCGTGGATCCCTCTGAGATCTGTCCCCATCTCAGCAGCAGCAGCAGCGTCTCCCGAGTGACTTGAAAGGCGATGTGGGGACTGCCAACAGCCCTCACAGGGAATCAGAGCAGCACAAACTATTTACATTAAACCCACATTTCCACATAAAAGGGGGCTTATTCTCAACAATATTAAAAAGTGGGTTTTATTAGAATCTGTTGTCTAAGCAGGCAGGAAAAAAAATGAGAAGGCTTTGTGAGCTCCGTCATTCCTGTGAAAGCTGGCGGCTCCGCAGCAGCAGCTGATGAGCTTATGGAGCAGGAAGGGAGAGTCAGGCTGTGAAACTCAATGTGTAAATGAGCTTCTTGCAGCACTTGTCTCTGCGCCTGTCACTTGCACCAGTGTCCCTGTCTGTTATAATCCTCCCAGTTCATTTGGCTAAACACGAGTGACATGCCAGGGACAGCAGCCAAAAAAAATGTTGCCTGTAAACACACTGGCTGTTAACTGTTGAATGCGAGGTCTGTCAAACTGAACAGCCATCCGTCAGGAGGGATGGCCTTTTCCTGCCACGGGAAAGGTGTTTTGGGTTAAAGTGGCTGAATTCTGCTGGGGAGAAAGGAGGAGGAGGATCGGCTTCCCAATAACCAGCATCCTTCTTTCCCACTGCCTCCTCAGCAGGGTAAGCTGGTCTTGTGCTCAAGATCTGAAGGCACAAATTTTTAGCTGCTGTTCCCTTCCATCACACGGTGTTGTCGTGCCAGCTCAGGTAATGTTGGTGAACACTGAGGCTGGAAGGGCTCTGAGTAACCTGGTCTATGGAAGGTGTCCCTGCAAGGGGTTGGAACTGGACAATCTTTAAGGTTCCTTCCAGCCCACACTAGCCTGTGTTTCCATGATTCTATGAACTGCCAGCTGTGGTCTCCCAGAGGCACTGTCTCCTGGGAAATTTTCTGGGAGTTGATACCCCATCTGGAACTGAACATTCACAGCCCTCTGATGCAGCTGCCCAGAGCACCACTGGCCCGAGGACCTTTGCACCACTCACGTGGAATAAACCCCTTATTTCCATCCCAGAGGAGTGCTCATTCCAGGAGCTAGAGAGCCCTGACACAGAAATCACATGGAATTTATGGGACATAATGAAACTTTATGCTTTCCATGTGAGGAATCTCTTTGAGTCTTATTTTGGATTTCTTGCAAGTGCCTTACTAAGGACCAAATGTGGAAAGCCAGTATCTGAAGAAATTAATTAACACAACAGAGCTGTATGTGGGCTTTGTGAGAAAGAGCAGCAAAGAGGAAACTTGTGAAATTCATTAATGACAACCCTTAAGGGACATCTGAGAACAGGGAGCACAGAGAACCCAGCCCAGGCTGGGGGGCTGTAGTACCTGTCTACAGGGGGCTGTTTGGCACTGCTCTCCCTGTGATGGGGACAGCTGGAGGTGCCTGAGCCCTGCTCCTGGTGGTCAGGTTCCCCCACTATTGATGCAAGCAGATCTCTGTGCTTACTTACCTGGCAAATCCTTCCCAAGGCAGCTCCAAACACTGCCCAGTGAATTCCGGGTACCCCCCCTGCCCCAGGTCTCCTGCCCTCCCAAAGACCCCCATTGCTCCCAGCACATGGATTTTTAAAGTGTTCCACAATAAAACATTTCTCCTTACGTTTGCTCCAGGAGACTGCTAACGTGGATTTAATGATTTACTGGCAATTTAGCCTTCCTATTAAAAAGCATCATCCCACAGAAACCTTTCCGTGGCTCAGTTTAATGGTTGCAGTAACTGCAGCCGTGCGAACAGGCGCTCCTACCCTGCGCTTCCCGCTTTATCGCGTGGCTTTGCTACGGCGTTTAATTGGGTTTTGATGAGGGTTTAATTCCCGGCCGGGGCAGCATCCTGGGCTCAGCCGCCGCCCGACGCTGGGGGTCAGTGTGAGACCGGCGCTGGGACCGCGCCGGGGGGGCTCGAGGGATGCGGGACACGGGGGATGCGGGACACGGCACGAATGGGAGCCCTGCGCGGGCACGGAGGGACAGGGAGTTCCGTCCGGTTCTCGTGGGAGAAGCTCAACCCCCACCAAGCCTTTCTACCCTCCTTCCAGGGGCCCAGGTCAGGGAATCACAGGATGGATTGGGATGGAAGGGACGTTAAAGGTCATCTGATTCCAACCCCCTGCCATGGGCAGGGATACCTTCTACTAGACCAGGTTGCTCCAAGCCCCGTCCAGTTTTTACCTGGTTGCTTTGCTGAGGACCCCAGGGACCTGGAACAGTTGTGTTCAGCTGCAAAATCCAAGCCCCTAGTCTGCTCTCAGCAGTCTTTGCTTGTAAAATAATAATAATAAAAATAACAATTATAACAACAACAACAACAACAACAATAATAATAATAATGCCTTTCCTCTGTCCTACATGCCAGTGAACATCAGGCTCACCCAGCCCCAGCCTAATTTTCCACCAGTGACAGGTGACGTTTTGGTGGGTGTTGTACATTATTTAACACCGTTTCTTTGGGGAGATAAAAATTCTTTGAGTGAAGGCAAGTGTCTTCCCTACACACCTGACAAAGATGGAAGCGGTTGTTTTACACAAGGCTCATTAAAAATAAACCCACCATGTTGATTCCAGCAGCTTAAATTACTTAAGCCTATGTAATGGGATAAATATTTGATGGTGAAGTTTATTAAATTTCCACCACTATTATGTTGCTGCTAAAAATATAAAGGATTCTTTAAAGCCTGCTTGGTGGTCTCCAAAGGGAGATGATTGGAAACCTGACTCAAAATCTGCCTGCAGGGATTGCTTTAGGGATGGGAATGAACTATCTCCTTCCCTCTGTCCTCTGCGGGTAACAGCTGATTCTTCCTGCTCCCATCAGGATTAGTCAGACCCTGAAAATAGCGAGAATAGCCCGGGCCAGGCCTGGAGCTGCTCCACTGGCAGGTTGTGCCCACCGAGGGTGGTTCTGCTGCACAGCTGCTCCCAGGCACAGGGTAGCCCTGGGGGGCAGGCAGGAACATCCTGCAGGAGGGTGACTGCGCTGCAGGTGGCTGCTCTCGGATGGTGATCGGGTTTGAAGTCTCTCAGCGTGTGCAGACTCTCAGGATGACTCTGTCACATCTCCCAGCTTCTGCACTTCACTGCTCTGCTTGGAGCGCAGAATGGAGCAGAAGCATCGTGTGACACAGCGTGACCCGAGAAATGGACACCTGCACGAGCTGTGCGTGTC